ATATGACAAAATAATAATAATTTATAAATTATCAAGGGTTCATGGGGGAAGGAGGAGTGGGGAGGGAGGGGAAAAAATGAGGAGCTGATACCAAAGGCTCAAGTAGAAAGCAAATGTTTTGAGAATGATGATGGAACATATGTACAAATGTGCTTGACACAATTGATGTATGTATGGGTTGTGATAAGAGTTGTCTGAGCCCCTAATAAAACGATTAAAAAAAAAAAGTTTCCCAGAAAAAATAAATAAATAAAAAATTTAAAAGCTCAATAAATATTTGTTAAATAAATAAAAAAAAGAAAGCCCATAAATACCCTTGCACATTTTCTATGAAATGGAAATTAAGATCATTCATTAAAGGACTTATTATGGTGAAAAAAAAGCAGTGAAGGGCTCTGGGAACTGTTTCTCTCTTTCTCTCTCTCTCTGACACTCCACCTTCCTCCCGGATGGGACTTCACTGGGACTCTGTGTCTGCCTCCAGGGGTGGCCCCATGGGGACCTCCCGACCCTGACAGCTGTCGGTGCCCTTCCACGTGTCCACCGACCTAGGATCCACGTGACTCCGGGCTCACTGGCCTAACGCATTAGCCATGGCAAGCTGGGTCGGCGTACAGCTCAGTGACACGGGTTACGTCCTTCAAGCCATGCAGCCCCTCTCCCGACCTGTTTAGATTTGCTCCTCCCCCATTACCATAAACTCACTGGCCCCTAAGGGTTATCTAACCTTTCAAGTTTCTCAATTCATAAAGACAGTCTTTACTAATTAAGCTAAACTACTGTTAGGTTGACAGAAGACTTCAAGGGCTATTTCTGGCTTGAGGTTTAAGTTTCAAAGAGGATCTCAGGGCCATGGTTTGGGGATTCATCCAGCTCACATGGCCCCAGAAAGTCTGGATTTCAGAAGGATTGGAAATGCTGTTGTGCATTTCGCACCCCACCCTCCTTAGATCAATCATGGTGGCCAGGCCCCCACCAATTCCGATCTCATGGTAAAGAAGGAAAGGGTTTGTGGAGGCCAGTAGCCCATAATTCCATCTTCTTCTCTTGTCTGGACTCTTCTTCTTCCTCTGATGTCCAAGAGCAGCTGTTTACCGTGGTGCCCATGGAAGCTTGGGAAACCCCAGGCACCATGCAACAAACTCCCTGGAAAAGAGGTACTGGAAACAGTACTAAACCAATTAACTGAGATGGCCCATGAAACCATGACCCTAGACCTCCAACCAAGGAACCAAGCCCCACAAGGTCTTTGACTTTCCATAAGCAACTGTGCACTCGCTCTCTTTTTAAATCATTAAAAACACAGTTCACGCATTTGCCAATTCAGCTGTTCCAGGTGTCCCACATTGTATGAAGCAGAGCTTGGCAGCAGGATCGGAAGAGATGCCGATGATACAACCTTGCTTGCTGAAAGCAAAGAGGACTTGGATCGCTCACTGATGGCAATCAAAGGCTACAGCCTTCAATATGATCACACACCAACGTCAAGGAAACAAAAGCCTTCATAACTGGACCAAGAGGCAGCAGCATGATAATGGGAGGAAAGATGGAAATCGTCAAGGGTTTCATCTTCCTTGGGCCCACAATCAACATCTGTGGAAGCAACAGTCAGGAGAGCCAGTGGCGTGGTGCGCTGAGTACAGCTGGTGCGAAAGACCTCTGCAAGACGCTAGGAGTAGCCATGCCACTCTGGGGACTAACAGGTACCTGGCCCAAGGCTTGGTATTCCATAGGCTCCCATGCATGGGAATGCTGGACATGGAAAGAGAAGACTGAAGTGGAATGGATCTAGCTGATGTACAGCGTCAATGAGGAACGTACCACGGGCCGCCAGATCAAACAAATCTGTCTGGGAAGAAGTCAGTCAGAATTCTTCTTAGAAGCAAGGATGGCAAGACTTCAGTCCTTTAGCTCTGTTATCAGAAGGGGCTGGTCCCGGCAGAGGGACATCATGCTGGATAGAGGGTCGGTGAAAAGGAAGACCTTCTATGAGATGGATTGATGCAGTGGCTGGAATGATCGGCTCCGACACGGTAATGGCTGGAAGGGCGGCACAGAACCAGGGACGGTTTGGTTCGGTCTACCTGAGGTTGCCGTGAGCTGGCAAGAATTCTTCCGTTCAACATCTGGGCCTGGACCTGAGACGTCTGTTATGGAGTTTACAATTTTCAAACCAAATGTCCTTACTGGTTATAGAGATTTTCAAATCGTCTGGTGAACACCCAGGGAGAGGGGTACAGGGTTCCTTCGAAGACTCACTCCATAGCCTTCCAGTTCTTAAGCGTCTGTGTATTGCGACAGCCTTCGGGGTAGGGGTGACCCGCGTCCTTTTCTCTTTGCCCATCTCGCTGCATGCTTGTGATTTCACCGATCGTCTCAAAGAACCGGCTTTTGGTGTCCTTGATTGTCTTTCTGTTGTTGTCGGTGCTTGATCTTCAATTTTACGGATTTCACCCCCTCACCTCTCTCCTTTCCTCTCCTTTGACTGGGCTCCTGATTGAAGTTCTGGAAAGGCCCCCTGGCTGCCAGGTAGAGAATGAGCACAGGCGGGGAGGGTGGCTGGAGCCACGGAGAACAGAGGGTAGATTGGGAGTGCCATGAAAAATCAGCTGACAAGAGTATCTGGTTATTTAATGGCAGGAAGCAATCAGAATAGAGCTTCAACTTTTTGTGAGCCACAGGCTGACTGGACATTCCATGCATTGAGGTAGGGGGGCATTGTCTGGAAGGAGGGGAGGCCTGGGGACTAGCAATTCACAGTTCTGCTTTGTCTATGCTAAGTTTCAGATGCCCCTGGGACCCCACA